GTGTCCGGATACGCTAAAAATAGTGAATAAGGAGATGTCATCCAGCCAGTACTTTTCTCCCCATTTTCACCTTTTTTCATGTGCTTAGATAATGGAGTTAGACTCCGGAGGTGATGAATGAGACTAGCTACCAATTATTGAAACAAATATGTAACTTGTAAAATGTTACCATTTTCTCATATATTAAGTAGACTAAACAAACAAGATCCTGAAAGCACATACGTTGTATTATATGTATGTGTATGTATAATATAAAAGTATTTTTCCTATTCTTTAACTGAAAAGCAGAGAATCTGAAATGGGAGGAAATACGGAAGAGACATCACCTGTGTCATGGCTCTGAAAGGAAATGCCACCTTACAGAGCAAATAATAAAGGCCGGGTCGTTGCACTTTGCATTAGAGATGTGGTAGATACTGCAGAGCGGCCGGGTCCTGGGGCCTGCAAAGCCGCCCTCAGGGAGAGAAGCCACCAGGATGCGGCTGTAAGAACTCGCCAGGATCAGGTCTGCAGTTGGGGGCAGAGACTCATACAACAGGTTCCTGAACTGACTGGGATTCTGAAACAGCTAAGGAGGCTGCTGAGTACAGTTTAAATTCTTGAGGGTGGTGAGGGAATCGTTTTTCTTTTTGGAACCGCTTTAGGTAGGTGCCCTTGTGTTCTCAGCAAACGGCACAGCGGCCCCGGAAGGGTCTGAGCGGCTGCGGGTGCCTCTGGGTCAAGCGAAGCAGTTGCTCAGGGCAGGGTGGTAAACGCTCAGGCCGCCCCTCACTTCAGGGCTTTCAAAAGTCACAGCGTCAGGGTTGTTTGCTGGGAAATGACAAAAAAATAACCAAATTCCCAACCAAAACGTTGGGAAACTCTACCTTTGGCGGAGGGAGGTCTCGGTTGGAAGTGTTAGCCAGAACTTGATGCATAGTGAGGTCGTGGGCAGAGGTCTGTGCCCCTCCTGCTGCAGGGATCCACGAGGCCTTTCTGCAGGTTTGTTCAGGGCTCTGCACGGAGGCTCTCTGCTGAGTGGCTTCCGAGAGAACTTCCTGTGGTCAACTAGGTCGTGCCAGGAATATCATCAGACTGGACGTGAAAGAAGGATTTTTTTTTTTTTTTTTGGGGGTTGATACTGAATCCCCTTCTTCCAGAATGCACAGGAATTATTTGAATGCTAAAAACAAAAGACTTGTCTGACCATCAAAATGATCCTGCAGGCTTAGGAATTTTAGTTGCAAACTTCTAAATGTGAAAATCTAAATAAATTCCCACTAGAGAATTGTCTGCAAATTTGTCTGTGCCTAAGAGTGATTTTTCCGAAGCACTCGTTTCACTATGGTATTTCACAGTGCCAGATTAGCTTAAATGTTTTTTGAATGCTCGTTTTGAGTTGGACGTGGCAGAAATGCTGAGATGCTTGATTTAATCACTTTCAATCTTTACTTTTCTTGTAGTAACAAATCGAGGGTTTTTCTTTTCCAATCTCTTCTCTAAATTTCTGTTACTCACATTATTCACTTGTGAAAAATAACAATACCTGAAAAAAACACAAAGATTTCAAATATTTTGAGTTTTGATTATTAGCTTTCATAAAACACATTTAAAATGAAAATTTGTTCAGTTTTGAAAACTGTGCAAATGCTTCTCAAAACCTAACAAAAGAGCATTGCCTTGCTTATGTGTTAATTATTTAGAAGAGTCACTGTTTTCCCTGCCTTGGTTAAATTCTCCCTTGGAACCATTAGAATATGGGTTTGCTTAAAAAAAGGGAGACCTCTTAACTGAAAAGATGCTGTTCATGTCGACAGGAGTTGGCAGCTGTTTTGAAATAGGCAGGGGGCAATAGTTCATAGTGGTAGGTTTATGATTCATGTTTTGGTCCTTTGAACTACCAGACTTCTTTGTTTGTTTGTTCAATTTTTCTTAATATTGCTCTCAGGATTTCATTACAAGCCTGTTTCTTTAAGTGCAAGATTATTCTTAGGAACGTACTTGATCAAAAATATTTTATATGGGTGCTGGCAAAAGAATGTTCCATTGAATCTTTTTTTTTTTTTTCCATTTGCTTTTTTCCTTTTTTTTTCTTTTTGTTTTTTTCTCACTTCTATCAATTTCTTCACATCAAACTTTGAGGAGTTGAGGAGGTGCAAATGCTTCTAGGAGCAGCAGAAATAGCATAGACAGCTGTGTATATTGGAGATGTGGTAAACATCTCTGTGCATGAATAACTTTTTTCTAGTTATCTAACTTCTTTGAGGAGGAAAGGGTCGATATAAAGGGATCTTTAGGAATTAAATATTCTGCTGCTGCAGCCACTCTGCTGGTGTCCTAGACAGAAAGTGTGTCCCTGTAGTGTGGGGATTACGGAACCCAGAAGTGTCGGTGAGAACTTCAGACACTTAAGAAGAGGACAGCCGTGTATTTATTTATCTCTTTTCCTAAAGAGGAGCAACATGACCTTCCTTACAATGCAGGTCTCCTTGTTCCCTGTCCATGGAACGTGCATCAGCAGTTGGTGCTTTCCAGGCATGGAGCGTGTGGCTGGAGTAGTGGCAGCATGGGGCTGTCTCCTGGGGAAACCACTAAGTTCTGTGGAGGGATGGGAGAGGTGGAAAAGGAAGAGATGTGGGAATGTTAGTGCTCCAGGGAAACGTGGTGGCATCTCTTGGGGCAAAGACTGCTTCCTTGAGCCTGCCAGCTTTTCCAGCCATATTAAATGGAGATGCTACAAGTTTTCTAGGCAAGTCGCTTTGTGAGCAGGAGGTGTTAGAGGAGCCCGTTTCCCTGTATCTCCTACTTTTCTTCTTCCTTTGGCATAAGCTTTATCAGATATGGACTTGTTGGGTGCCTTCAGGCCTCTCCTCCCTTCCCAGCTCTGCGCGGGGACGATCCGGAGCGGAATTGAAGGATGCACCTTTCCCTTTAGCTGTACGTGGATCAGAAGCACTTTGGGCCCAGAAAGACTGTGAAACGTCTCCTTTTTTCAGTCTTTTAATTTTAATAATTGACAGCAAGCTTTCTAGCAATATCTTAACTGCTGTAAGGAAATAATTCATATTATTTATATTTTACCTTTCTTTTTAGCCTACTAGGTATGGCTGTATGAGTATATGTTGAACTACTATACTGAAAAGGTTCTTTTTTTTTCCTCCTTCTGTCAATATAAGGCCTCAGCATTAAATCTAATGCTCCTTGCATCTTTTTTATTTCAATACAGTAACTTCTCAGTTTCCTAAATCTTATGTAGTATGGTGCTGTTGACCTAAGGTTAGGAAATGAGTTTTAGCCTTCAAATTTGAATAGGTCCCGTGTAAGTGAGACAATTTTCTCTTTTAATTACCTGCGAGAGATTTTATGTTTCTGTTCACCCTGTGCAAATGCGAGTGCCTTTCTCCTGGTGGAGAAGGCAGAGTCATTCCCGTGTTCAAACAGCATTTCTGTTGCAAAGCTGGTAACGATACCTGGGAGAGAGTGAATTTGGAAGAAATACTTGGGATACGGCAGCGCTCCGCGTTCTGGCGAACATTCGGTATGAGGGAATATGGTCACGGTAGAACGTGACTGGAATGCTCTTAAAGCCACATATTTGTGCTCGCATCAGATGGAGGAGGAGGAAGGAAAAATTGTATTTTAGATGTGTGATGCGTTCAGTCTGACTGACTAGGTTTTTTAGATAATTTTATTCAGTTTATTTTGATGTAGGCATTACAGAAGCTGCTATGGATGATATAAGGAAGATGAATATTCTCGCATGTGTTTTTCTACTCGGGACGTCTGCATGAACCCCCGTTTAGGCCACTCAAATGAGAAGCTGACTGAAAAGCAGTCGCAGGGGCGAGGGGCACCTTGTCAGCACCACGGGACACGAAAGCTCTGTCCTGCAGGAGTGCATGGAGAGGTCGGGAGCATGAAGGGGGGGGTGCCCTCCAAGGCCGTGGAGGGGCCTTGCTGCTCGGCCCGCTGCCGAGTCCCGCTTTGCTCAGGCTGCCTTGTTAGGTCCTGAAATGAGAGCGCGGGGCAGGTCTTGAAGGGCGGCGTGGCCGGGGGACACGGCTTGGGGACGGTGCCGGCAGGAAACCAACCTGCGCGGGAAGCACGTCCTGTTCCTGCCGACTGAAGCGGTTGGCGTTCGCTTACTGGTTGCAGCTCTGCAAGAAGAGACTCAGTGTCTTTGGAAAACATGTACTATTGAGACACCATTCATAAATCTTAGGAAACAAATACTTGAAGAGGCCAATTCTTGATGGCACTGCAGTGAGTCTTGATCTGAAATCCCTCCGTTTTCACCGCTGCCCTGTGCAGCGCTCTCCTGAGCGTGAGGCCGGTGAGCGTTCCCGTCTGCTGTGGCCACGTGCCTGCTAGCCAGAGGGGGGAATGTCGGCGGGAATTCGGAGTGGGAATGAGGGATGTGAGGCGGGCGATGCGCTCGTAGCGCTCGTGTTGCGTGAAGCTGGGGCTCTGGAGCCGCCTTTCAGCTCAGCCTTGGTCTTACTACACGCTGAATAAAACGTAAGCCCTTTTTAAGCCTTTTTTTTCCTTTTTTTTTTTCTCCTCACTTGCTTTTGTTTCTCTAGTTACTGAATGAAGGGGCATGAGAACCCAATTTGTCTGTATGTGTCCCTCTGCACCCGTTCTTTAAAAATTACAGGGCATCCGGGAGTGTTGAAAATGAGCTACATGATTAAATTTTTAAATCTTATAGCAGCCTTGTCCAAAAAAAGATCCCCAAATTTCAAATGATTCTTTTTGTTATAAGTTTGCTTTAAAATATTGCTTGATTTACATTTGTATGATTAATAATAAATACTCTTTTGGGTTGACATGTCATAAAACAAAATTATAATCTTAAGGAATCCGTTACCCACAGTAGTGTACTTATTGTAGCAGTGTTGCTTTTATTAAACCATTTATCATTTTAATGCTGTGCATTCTGACTGACTCTTAAGGTTTTCTATCTTAAAAAAAAAATTGTAATGAAACAGAAATTCAACATTCGTTTTTCTTTCCTACAGCATTATCTGCATACCAGAGGTACTACAGTTTACAATCTGACTACTGGAAGGTCTGTATATACCTTTTATTTATATATGTGTAAAACGTGTTGTAAATGATTGAATTTCTAAAATCAGTTTGTTTTCATATAAGATTGGAATGTGTATCTGCAATACTTCTTTATTGATTGGGTTCTACAGATTCAGTTTTTGTGTGCAATTTATTATGAGTTTAAGTGGAAGTAAATCTTCACTCTTGTGCAAGTAAATCACATCTTCATGTGGAAATGGCAGAGAAATGAAATTGTTGTGTGTTATTATTATCTATTACTTTGGTGTTCATTACGTAAGCGTGGGTATTTGTGTGTGTATACATGAACTGGGTGAATCAGAACCACTTAAAAGCTGCTGCTTTCAAAGGCTTCGAACTTCCACCAGGAAAGATCTTCTCAGGTCGTTTCTTATTTACTGGCTTTAAACCCCAGTATTTGGTGTTCTTCGCATTTTATAAGGAATATCAGCCTGTTATAAGGAGCTCTTCCATGAGGGGAAGAGGAGTGGGAGGAGCAGGGTCAGTTTGGCGGCCTTTTGTTTTTAAAGGATACACATCTCTTAAAAAAGAGCAGTCATCTGTTCTTACCTCTCCTGTGCTCCTGGAGAGGTAGCCTGAAGATTGCTGCTAATTGAGTGCTGGGGTTGTTGATTAATTAATTAACCATCTGTTAGAGTAGTTATATTGTTTGTACTCTGCCCGTGTTGAGTTGTTTTGAATATTTTGTGAATTGAATTTATTTTTTTGCCTCTTTGTGGTTTTTCTTTTTGTGTGTGTGCTTTTTTTTTTTTTTTTTTTTTTTTTTTTTTTTTTTTTTTTTTTTTTTTTTTTTTTTGGTTTGCTATTAAAAGAAGCGATAAATGATTTATCAAACCATCTTCCAGCCATTTTCAGAGTGCAGGGCAAGCTGGAATTTAGGCGTGTGGAGGTATGTATGTGTGCGCACATGGGCGCTTGTCGGTGTAGGGCACTTGAGCAGAGCTCCCAGCATTAGGTGCAGTTCCAGCAGAGGGGAGCTCCCTTGGGCGCTTCTGCAGGGCCGTGTCCAGGCCTGGGGCACTAGACCCTCGTGAGACCCTGTCACACAAGCCACCTACCACAGTGTCAGCAGCAAGGGGGCTTCTCAGAGCGGGGAAAAAAGGCTTTTTTTTGCCTCCTGCAGCAAGGAGATCTCATTCTGAGCTTCCTTATGAAGGTCTAATTCTAAAGGTTTTGTTAATACTCATTGTAGATTGTGTCTGCATGACAAGAGTCTGAAAGAGTCCAAAAACATTTTCAAGAAAAACTGTACTGATAGTGCTGATGAAAAGTCAGGGGCTGACCGTATATCTCTTACTGGTGGATAATGGAGCTCGTCCAGAGGTTGCAGTGGAAAGTTGCTGAGCTTGGGCCTAGAAAGAGGAAGCTTGTTTTCCTCCTGCTCTGTCCTCTGAGAGGATTTCTTATTGTTCTGAAATATCTGTTCCCCCCACTCTTGTGTGTGTGTGTATACATATAGAAATATATATTTTTTAAATGATTACCCCAGTTTTATTTTACTCAGCATCTATAGGATATCCTTTGGTCAAAAAAAAATATGCAGTTTATTTTAGGTCACACTTTTAGATACTGTATTAATGTACTTTATGATTAACTTTTTTTGGTAGAGCTATAGAGACAAAACACATTCTGTGATTTTTCTGTTTTTTTCAAAGATGCATTATTTTTCAGTTTTGTTTCTATTTTTCAGTCCTTACAGGTTTAGATATCACCAACTCAGCTGTTAAAATATTTGCTGGGGAGGAAGGAGGGGAGAGAGACGGGTGGGATCTGTGAGCTCTGAGGGCACCTGGTGAAAACACCGAGGAATTTGTGGATCACATGAAGGTGCTTATATAAGATAGGCCTAAACTCGGGCAGCAGCGGGCTTTAATAAACTTAGGCAGCGCAGCTGAAATTACATACTGTACTGCAAATCTGTGGCTCAAATAAGTGTACTGTGTCTGCTTTGCTTATAAATAGCAAACGTGTAGAAGGATTGTGAGAGCTTTTAGGTTGCTTTGGGTGTATTTCGGCCTCCTTATGTAATATTTGTAGTCTCTGTTACTTTGTTTTTTCACAGTTGCATCATATCAATAATTATGCATTCTTTTGATGTATTGTTTATTACAAGTTACTCATTGTAGAAGTAATCTTTTTTTTATCTTTTCAGGACCTTTAATTTTTTTTTCATGCCCTAAAGATGTTCTAGATTAACGGATGATCTCATTTTTTTTCTATTATTTATTTTTATGATTTTTTTTCCAGAATTTGTTGCCTTGCTTTTGTTGATAATACATTAAGCATTTTGTTGATTGCACAAAATAAAAAGAGGAAAAAAACCTTCAGAAAACATATTTTTTGAGTGTATGTTATGATGACAGAAATGAAGGATAAAAGATTGAAGAAGATATTCATTCTTACCATTTATTAGATCAAGATCCTCTTCATCCCGATGAGGTACCATTTCCTTTGAAGCAACCTTTCTGTGGATAATTTCATGGAAGTGTTGCTTTGCGGGAGACACGTATTCCTAAACCAAGTGTGTTTTACGGTGATGTCTTTGAGCATCCACGGATCACCATGAGATGCCATGAGGAATCACTGGGGTTCTGCACATGTGCTCTGCTCTGCAGCGTTTCACTGGAGATCTCAGGAAACCAATATCTCAGCTTGGGTGAAAGCCGAGATAACTGATGGAGCTCAGCGCTCTATAATTTTTTCCTATATGGCTATGCTAAAATAAATCTGCCTTCTGTGCCTTGTACTGTATTCTGGTTCCTTTTTAAAACTCCCCTGTGCCAAAGCGTTGGGGGATGTGAGCAGGAGTGGAGGGGATGCAGGGATAGGGAGGGCAGCTTGGGGGGAGAAACAACAAGTAGGGCTGTGGTCTGTGGATTTTGGTGTTACTGAGGAGAGAGAGAGAAGTTTGATGTCTGCTGCGGTTATCGTTTTTGACGGACTCTGAGAAGGAAAGATTAACAGCTTAGCAAGCAGTAAGATGCTCCTGATTGCATCCTAACTCCATGGCAGGTATCTGGCACGTGGCAAAAGTTACTTAAAATCATCTCATGAGGCTGTATTACAATGCAGTTCATCATACAGAACTCGTCTGTACGGTGTATATGTTCTGATAGGGGTTTGCTAAGATCAGTGTCAGCACCTGAGCGTGTATGTTCATATAAATGGGTGTTACGGTGTGTTGCAAGTGCGAAGCATTTGGTTCTGTTGTGTTGTCCGGGGTGCCCAGGGCCGGAAGCCCCGGGACCCTCCCTGGGAAGGTTTGGGACGCTGGGAGGCCCCCATCCTTGCGGGAAGGGCTCTGCACTCAGAGTCATCCCGAGGAGCCTGGTGCCAGGTACTTGCCCCGTCTCCTCTGCCCTGTCAGGCTCTCCCTTGTGCTGTGTCTGAAGCGTCTCTGTGCTGCCTTTGCAGGTACCTGTCGCGCGGATAGAGCAGGGCAGCTGTAGTCCCCGCCACCAGCACGGGGCGGGAAAGTGTCCGGGCGGGAATCCGAGGGGGAGTCCCAGAGTGGCAGGGAGGGTATGGAGCCTGAGAGCTGCTCTGCCTGGCAGCGCCTCGTGGCCAGCGCCGGCCTTTCCCGGGGCCGTCACACGGCATGGGAGCGGGGCACATAGCCCTCTGGAGAGGGCTTGAACGTGCCTAATGGAGAGCATGAGGATCTAGTGCTGTCTCCATGCATGAAATCTGGGAGCTCAATGGAAAGAAGGATCCCGGCAGCTCTCCAGGGTTTGCATGGAGTTTGCATGGTGTTTAGTCAGGGTAATGGCAGGCTAGTGGAGGGTACACAGGTATTCAGACACTCCTGCCCTTTCTTGAACGTGCTGGAAGATTTTCAGAGCACATTACTTAGAAGTGTGTTCAAACATACCTTAAAATGGAGAAAACTACTGTGAAAATTAATTACTTCTGCTTTGAAGAAACTATTTACCATCAACTAAGATGCCAAAGCTTAGATCCAGGTACCTTGAAAAGAGAAGAAATTTACTTGGTTATAAAGCTCTTTGTAGATGAGTTCTTGGAGTGGATCAGTAAGAAAATCTGGATGTTCCTTGAAATGTTTGAGCAATGCTTAATTAGTGAATTATGTCCTCCAGCATGAATTCAAAGATAGACTTCTTGTTAGCTGTTAACTTTGGCTGGAAGGTTGCCTAGAAGAAAAGGCAATCTGTCAGGCACCTCTTTATCATCGTATATGTAGAGAGAATGGTCCTAAACTCCTTTCGATAAGGTTTTCATTTACGTGGCCTGGGTGAAAACATCATAGTAGTAGAGTAAACTCCAAGGAGGGCCTTTAAAGGCGTGCTTCCGTATGCCAGTGGATTTTAAAAATACCTTCCTAAAATGTAGTGTGAGTATTTTTAAAGAGCTTAATTTTTCTCCTGAACTTTCCAGCTACCTTGCTGTGATGTTTTAGACTGAATGGCCTTACAGGGGGGAAAAAAAGAAAGAAAAAAAAACTAGAAATTTAAGAGAGGAAAATAAATCCTCTGGTTGTTTTGCAGCAAGGTATGGATGGTATCGGTCTTACTGTGGTACTCCCTCCCTGTGATGCCTGGACGTTAGACCCCTTATATAAATTGGGACGTTGACTTCAGGTTACCACCTTGTGCATCTGACCTTCTTCATATAAATATATTTTTAAGAACACTCGATAATGGCAGCGTGTTTGCAAATAATTGAATCTCCTCCTATTTTTCTCAGATAGTCTGCATAAAATTGAAGAGAATCCAAACATGCAGAGGATAAAATAAAATCTCAGTGGACAAAGAAGCTTAGGATAAAGAGGCTGTGCATGTGTGTGCTTGCCGTGGAGAAGGGATGGAATCTTTGTGCTGAGTAGACTATGGCTTGTAACAGAAAATAATCTTAGAATGCTGCTGTTTCGTATGGAGACCTAAAGTATATTTTAGTCTTGGTTAATTTTTATAATGCTGCTATATATTTAAACTTGTAAAGTTAAAAATCTGACAAATTATT